TTCGCCATGGTTTTATTCCAAATCACTTTAATCCTAACAAACTTTATATTAACACATGAAAATATACAGAAACGTATAAGAACTACTTATGCTGCATTACCTCAGAGGGGATATTCAATTCTTACATGGATGTAAGAACTCTCTCCCTAAAATTCTGTCTAAATGATGTCTGGTGTTTTGTGGTATATTTTAGTTCAATTGTTTTATGTTTAAAAGACACATTTGAAGCCATTAATGTTCATAATTTTTCCCATTGTGTTATATAATAACAAACTCTAATGTATTTGGGATATTGTATAACAGCAAAAAAAGTGTGATGTGATAGAGGAAGATGCTCTGGTTAGATAAGAACTAAACCGAACGTCTTAGAAAACAAATAGATCTTTATTTATGGTGGTAAACTAACCATCAATCCTGATAAAACTAGCTCCCTAGTGAAACATAGTGGTGCCTGCATCATGCTGTGTGGTAGGTTTTTACCTCCGTAGGGGCAGCAAAACTGATTGAAAGAGCTAAATACCACCTAACCCTGAAAGAAAAGCATTTAGAGAAGCAAAGATCTTGACACTAAGGCAGAGATTTCTGTTCAAGCAGGGCAACTTTTAACATCCCTGATATTAAACATTGTCCTGCTGGACAAAAATAACAATATGAGACTCATTTACAATTAACCAACAGGTTATACAAACTTTGGACATTGTGTTTTTGTCAGCATGCCAATATCGGATATTTTAGGTGCAGGCTTATATAATCACATTGTCTGATATTGGGAAATCAAATCAGTGCGTTGGTTTAGTTGAAAGCATATCAATGTGTTTAATAAGGCCTGATCAATGCCCAGACGGAAAGCCAATTGAGAATCAGCAGCAACTTAAAACTAATACTTATGGAACCTCCCTAATGAGCATGAACAAGTTGGTGAAGAAGCAGCAAGCATTCGTTCTGCAATGCATTTCCTGAACTTTTAAGATCTTTCATGTATATATATTTATACTACACAATTTTGGACTACTTTTTCTTTTTCTGTAACAGAAAATGATTACGGTAAAAATACAGCCAGGTTTATGTTTGCAATACAGAATAATGTGAAAAGTGGGACAGCTGACTTATAGAACTATGTACTGTAGAATCTCAGGGGGAAAATGTCTATTTAGGACAGTGTAAATTAGTTTATTACTAACAGGTTGTTATTCACTAGGGGGCGCTAATTGAATTTAAAAGAAAATATCTGCTGATAATGAAGCGAATGGATTAGACTGGAAACATAAAGCTAAACAAATACAGCACTGTATTAGTTAAAAACCTAACCATGTATAAACCTCAACCAAACTTATTGTAAAACTGACTTAAAAACAGATTATAAGAGCATTTATAGTTGTGGCCTAGTGGTTAGGGCATAGAACTTTGATTCCTGAGGTTCTGAGTTTGAGCCCCACTCCCACAGTCTGCCTCTCTGGGTCCCTGAGCAAGACCCTTAACCCACACACTGCTCCCTGGGTGACACACAATGGCAGCCCACTGCTCCGCAAGGGGATGGATTAAATGCAGAGGTAAAAATCCTCCAATGTGAGATCAATAAAGTTCAATTAGCAATTGATTAATTTATACGTTTTTGTAAAGATCAGTGGATTTTTTTCTCATTGTTCTTTTCCTCTGCAGAGCAGATTAGAACTAAGTTTTTTTTTAACCTATTCACACTCAAATGTTCATATTGCAAAACTAACCTAACCATTAATTAGAAATTTAGGCCAATAAACTACAATTATTGGCCTTTACATCAACATTTTTTTTTATCCCATTCTTTACCTTAATATTTTTTTTAACTCTAATAATACCCTTATTGTTTAGAAAATAGCTATATGAATACATTTTCCCATACAGGCTCTTAATATAACAAAAAAACAAAGTGCCTACATATCGCTTCCTACCATGGAGACCACTTGTTTTACCAGCATTAGGGTTTTACTTGCTAAGTTAGAGGGTAAGTAGTTCAATCCACAATTGCTACCTCTTGGTGGCGCCAATGTTTTTTTTAAAACAGTCACAAAAAAAAAAAAAATAGAATATTGCCCACTTTTCTTGTTAATTGTTTCTTATTTAATTAAATAAATCACCCAAATAAAGACTCAATGATGAGCACATGTGCACAGAGAATGGCTGAAATAGTATTGTGTGTGCCTCTTATTTATTTCTCTTCATGAGTAACTCACTTTGATTAGACAATAACTGTTACAACACAAAAATTGTTTTTTTTTTTCTTCTCCAAAGCAAGTTTGGCCACATGTTATGTACAAAGTCATAATAAAAAGTCCTTCATTTGTCAGCATTGTCTCCAGTTTAAAAAGTTAAGGTCAGCTTCATGTCAAACCCTCCGTTTCAGTTGCAAATTGAAAACATCTTGACAATAAATAATACCGTAAAATGCACACAAAAAGATTGACAGTCCACCACAAGTTCATAACGTCGCACATATTGCATGTTGAGGAGCAGGGGGAACTGAGGGATCAGAGGAAATTTCCTTCTTAGCAAAAATGTGACAGTTCATACCAGTTACAGAAAAAAGCTGATCATCTATACATTGACACTAGCAAGATAACAAAGTTGTTTTCTTTTGTACAAAGAAGGGAAAGTCATCTTCACAAGTAAAGATCATTGTCTAGCTGTGGAGATTATACAAGCAAGATTTAAGGCAACTTATGTTTTTGAAACATAAGGGCATCATATCCCATTTTATTTGTTTTGTCAGCTGACCACTTGTTTTCTGTTTTTTCAGCTTTGAGTTTGTTACATTGCATAATCCAGGCTTTGGAAGTAGGCCTGCAATTCGTCATCAAAAAGGAATGCTGGAGTTTATCATGACTCTTGCTGCTATCAAGGAAGATGGATTCTACTGTCCAAGAATAGACTTCCGGATCTTCATGGAGGATATATTCCTAATACTGAACATGGGGAAGGGTAGGAACAGTCAGAACATTTCATTTTTACCACAGTGTGGGAGTAAAAAAAGTGTAAACCAGAAGGGAAAAGCAATCATAATAATGATCTGTGTTTAGGATAACATCAGAAATGGGACATTTTGAGCAGTCAGAGAGAAAAAGAAACTCAAACAAGTTTGACTTGAAGGTTAAGTGGCACAAGGATCAAAGGTCAGGCAACAAACGGAGCTCTTGTCTCCTAAGAGATTAGCTAATACGGAAAAAGGAAATTTTGAAAATATGTTTTTGGCCACAAATTAGCGGATAATAAATATTTTGTAATGCAGAATTGATACAGAAACTATGACATCCTGTTTTCTCACGTTTGACATGCTTTATCTTTTATCTTTTACCATATTTCCTTTAACTTTTAATGGATTGACGTACTGGCAGAGTTAAGCTGCAGTTATATGACCAATAAACAGCCTGATCACATAGTCAATCCTATTAATTTACTTTATAAGAGCAAACTGCAAACAAATCAAGTTGGGTTTCTTTTCTGCTTCATTCTGGAGCACTACATGTACAGTATTTGGAAACATAATTTATATTCCACTTCGGGATTTTTTCTTTTACTTGCTTCATAAATGCACTGAGAACTAAAGGATTTAAGAGTTAGATGTCATTAAAACAGTTCACTTTTAGTTGTTCAGTCTTAACCATAAATCTGCTGCTGATACACTGAAAGGGACCTTTGAAACAACACTTCAAACATATAAAAAAGACAAAAAAACAACAAACAGATAGAAAAGCTTCCCCTATATTCCTTTAGCTAATTAAACCCTAGGAATGTAAATTTGATATTTAATGTTTACTTCAACAAATGGTTGAAAAGTGTTTGAAGAGCCTACGGACTCATCATCTTGCCTCTCTTCTTCAACACATTCAAAGGTAAAGACAAATTGATGTTTTATTCTGTTGATGTCACTGTGTACTTTTGCAGGAACTGATGTATATTAGATTATAGATTTGTATATCCCAGATGTCCCAGTAACTTTAACAAATGGCAGCATTTCTCACCTTGGGAATGAGAATTTATTCCAAAGAATAATTCTTTTTTATTCAAAAGAACAATTTCTTTCTCTGATCCAGATTTTTCTTTTAGATTTATATGCAAAGGAGAAAAATGAAAAGCCTAAACATAATTTTCTAATCCAAAAAGTAGAGCAGAAGTAAAGCAAAGATTGAAAGCGAACCCATGCAGAGGGAAGGATAAACTACTGATAAAGTTGCATGCAGTGTAACCTCAGCAGGAAATATAACTTGACCAACTTCTACATGGTTACCTTTATAAAGCCTGTAAGAAAGGATTTTGCTTGCTTTTGATGTGCGATTTAAGCTTAGAGCAAATGTTGCAACTCAAGGGTGAATTTAAACAAAATTAACAGAAACGTGATCTGGAATTGAAAAGTTAGTGTATATGTTTGCATTGACCCTTTTTGCATAATTTCTAATTAAGATATGTATGATAAATTTAAGGATGGATTTTGCAACATTCTCCTATGTCTAAATTTTCTTGGGTTAAGTAGTTTTTTTCTCTATTGGTTGGTGGTTTTATTAGGTATCTTGCCATACATTGTGTTATGGATGCTTCAAACCAGTACAGTGTTTCTAACCTGTGACATGTAAACTAAATACTGACTTTTTTTGACTAGGTGCAGGTAAAACTGCATGGAGGACAGTTTTGAACACACAAAGGACAACAGCCCAAAATATAAATAAAAATATTTTAAAACTCTGTTGGCAAAAGAACAGTGGGTCATTTGGTAATTTTTATGAACACTTAAGGAAAGTCTTTCATACTAGAAATACCTGAATCTGTGTTTAGCTACATAGGAGTGTTCACTTCTTTATTCTTAATATAAGTCTTTTGTTTTAATTGATTTTATCCCACAGCCTCATCAAACAGGTCTTTCTGAAACATATCTTAATCTCAATAAGTTTTTGTTTTGTTTGTTACACAAACCAATAAAGGATCAATCCGCCTAATGGGAAAAAAAATCCAGTCATTTCTTGGGTTTAGCTATTATTCAACTATATTTAGCAGGTCTTTGTTTTAATATGTTGCCAATGTGTGGCTTTATTGCTAGTAGCTAAAGCAGAATTATCAACAATAACACAGAATCAGTTTTTTACTGGCAAATTATTTATCCCTCTTCATTGCAAATGAGTTTTGTTTAATTTGTGGCAATATCTGTTTTTATTGTACTTTTTTTTTTTTACAATAAATTAATTACTAATATTACTTAACTGACACCCAGATTTGAAGTTGACATATTTAAAGCAGATGCTGATTTGGATGAGATGAGTTAATGATCTTTTTGTAACATGACAGATAGAAAAAGAGAATATATAAGCAGTGATAAGAACATTTTTGTCAAATGTTGGTAAAGTCGGTTTAGCATAATCTAGAAAGATTGCATGCTATGAATTTGTCATTGATTTATACGCCATATAATTTTTTTTTTATATGGAATATAAAAAATAAAAATAAAGCAGAAAGCATAAAGGGCTTATTAACCTCTAGTTATTGACTCAAAAGCTGCTACAGACTAATTCAGTTTTTTCCAAACTTTTGGCATCCTAGACCACAAATGTTGACTCCATTGCTCCTTACGGGTAATAATGCTCTTTTATTATAAAAAGTAATTTATTGTAAATTATTTTCTTTTTACCTGGTATGCAACAAAATAAACATGCAACATTTCACTCAAACTTTTCCTTGAGCTATTTTCTTGATAAAGGTAGGGTTCACAGATTTTATTTTGTTGGTCTCTCAGAAAGATTCTTAGAAAAGATTATCAATTTAAAAAAAAAACCTTCCTGTATTTAGGCAACTTTAGTGAACATGTATTTGTTTTAAAGGAAATATTTGCAGAATTATTATAGGGAAAACATGGATGATAGAAGAAAAATCATTTGGGTCATAAAATTTACACAAAATGAAAGCTAAATTAAAAATTGAAGATATCTTCCTCATAAATATCAGCTCCAATTGCTGGTGGGTCAAACTTATACTGTTCTTGAACTCCAGTTATTATCATTATTCCCTGGGCTTCAAATGGCCCCTAAGCTGTATTGTGGACTCCTTTGGTGAATTTCATGTTCAAATGTTAATAGCAGTTATAGCTACCACTGAAGTTATTGTCTTTTTACACAGTCACCGATTTGCAAAGGTTAGGTAATAATCCTTTTCTAACAGGAGAGATAGAAATGAGAAAATGGAACAATTAGTGTTTAGCTACTGATGCATTTTCCAGAAATGAAGCCAAGTCCTGAATATCAAGGTAATGATTATTAAAGGATAGTTGGCCATTGTGTAATAGGAACAAATAATCAGCTAATAATAGTTTTAAAGACGACAGGAACCAAAGAAGATAAAAAAACCAATGTCCCATTTTTTTTGCGCTTTCTTCTTGGACTTTTTTTTTCTTATTTCAAACTGACAATTAGACCATTATTACCTGAATTATTAGCTATTTAACAAGATGTGGGGTTTGATAAATAACTACAATAGCTAGCACGTATTTCCTGATTTGATTCCTAATGACTTGTATCATACTCATCTCATCATATTGATCTTTTTGTATAAACAAACAGCTAAATAAATATATTTATTGAGGGGCAATTTCAAGCCTTCAAGTTAAACTGCTCAGTTATTACTGCATTAACTGAGTGATACATTCGTCTGTATGCCATGATCCAGATTTAGAAAGGATCAAACTAAATACACCATTTTTTTAGTACCTCGGTTGTATTTTTATCATGTTTTTAAGCTTTCCCCTGGTTCCACTTTAACTTAATCACAGAATGCTCCTTAGTAAAAAAAAAAAACTAAAATATATAGAGTGCATGTGCTGAGCACAGACAGAGAGCAGAATGAATCTTTAAATAACAAGAGAAGCAGCGGGGGGGGTGACGGCCTGTTAATCCTCCTGTTGGAAGAATTTACTGTCTCGGTTTAAAGGCCAAGTGGTCCTGCTGGCCAAAATGTCCCTTAGGTATAAAACTTGGCCCCCAAAGGAGCTGAACCACAGGCAGGAGGAGCCCTGTCTGCTCTGCTCTGCTATGATACACATTGTTTAGTTTTTCGGGATTCCGCATCAGGCTTGAAAGGCGGTTTGTAGTGCTGGTAGATGGTGAGGTGACGACAACCTACGTGTTTGTGTGACAATATAAGGGGTGGTGCAGCTCGGAGGGATGGGATTTAGAGGTTGGGGGAGACGGGTGAGTCGCACTGCGGTTATCAGAGCATCCATCTGTGAAAAGAGACAGAGAGGAGATAGAGGCTGAGTCAAAGATGGTTTCAGTTTAATTCATGAAGCATTTCTTTTCCCTTCATTCAGTTCTAAGCCTTTTGTTTCCAGCAGAAGTCAACATCACTCCACCTTTAAACTTTTTCTGCTGGGAGAACTTTTCTTTTTCTGAATAGAATGAATATGGAAAATAAAGAATTTTTTTTTTTAAATGGTTAAATGATTAACTTTTTTATTTTTTCAAATCCACACAGTCAATATGAACAAAGCAAATTTAAATGAAGTTGAAACTGAACATCTGAATGCAATCCAGAACAGAATAGAAGATAATTGACGCCTCAAACCCACTGGTTCCTTCTATGATATCATGAACATGTCAAAAGAAATGAAGAAAGTTATGGCTCTCTGAAACATTCCCAAACATTTCAGTCTGTCACTGTAAAAATAACAATGCAACAGACTGGTGAGCCATACTTTGATTCTATATTTATATATTCATCAATATTCAATTTTAAAACAAATTATAAAAATAATTTGTATTTAATCTATAATTTTAAATGTATTTATAATAAATTATTCAGTGGTGATGACACATAATATTTGAATCATATATTAGATAAATATTAGATATATAAACAAAGAAAAAATATATAAATAACTACTACTACTACTACAAAAATGTACTACAAGAATGTTGGAAAAACTCTAAATCATAAACCAATTTTATGTTTACATTTGAGCACCATGTTTACATTTTATCACTGCTAAGCTTTAGAAATAGAAATGTCTTGAGAGCTGTACTCAATGAATTTTCATTTTATATACACTCTGTGTTTACAAAATGACAATAAAGTTTGTCCAAGTCTAAGTCATCTATTTATTCCACAGTTTCTATTTATTTAAAGGAACTTTTACATTTATGTCCATAATATATTTTAGCCCTCCATGTACTTCAGGGATCACATCCCAATGATTATGAAAACTATCTTATGACCCCCCCCCCAGGAAGTGTCTCACGACGCAAACATTTGCAGAAGTTTTTCCCTATTATGACACCTTGGAAATGCTCGTTCATCATAGCGTTAAGGAAGCAGATGGGTCCTATTAACTACTATGTTTTGTTGCAAAACATATCACCCACAACTAAAAACAAAATACTTTGTAAATAGACAGGCTAATGCTGGTCATAGACAGCCCATTATCCACAACAACTCAATGGTTCTGATATGTACCACACAGAGAGGAAATAGTCATTATTTCAAGGCAACATAGAAAGCCATTAGAACTGAGGATTGCACTTACAGAGAAAGACTTGCTCTGTGGTCTGATACAGTTGGGTCAGATTTCATATTGGTTTCATATTCATATTCGTTTGGAGGAAAAAGAGGGAGCATGTTTGAGAATAACATCCCAACTGTTAAACACAGTGGTGGCAGTATCATGCAGCGGGGTGTTTTGGTGTAGGAGGGACTGGTGCTGAGCGCTTTCATTAGGAAAGAAGCACAAAGGGGTCTATAACATTGAAAGTGACATTAATTATACTGCTGAATAAGCTGCAAAGTACAGTGAAGATCAAAGCTAAGGTTTTGGAATGGGCATCGCAGATGAAAAATAAAACATAAATATATTTTAGAATTATATACTGCCTCACTTAAAACAGAAAATATTTAGTCGGTCTAGATAGTTAGAAGAAAATAATCTTCATAATCAAGCTGGTTCTTTGAAGCCAAAAACAAGCTTCTAACTGTACTTCTGTCCTGTTTTCCATTAAGAATATACAGATCTCTGTAAAATAGTGTGATTTTCCTGAAATTAAAATAAATTCAGAGAATTAAAGAGATAAAATAAATCACCTGAAACTCAGAACTGATATAAAAAGGAATGCAGAAAAGAAGTATAACTTCCCAACATGAAGTCTTTCTGTATTTCAATAAATATTTTATGGATAAATGCCTCAATGATTTTAATGAGGTGAAAAAATATGTGACAAAAGCGTCAAACTATTTATAATTTCCTATGTTAGCCTTTTCATGTCTGATAATAACGGTGGATTATTCTGTTGATTTCAGCTGCTGGCTACAGGGCTTGATTTCCCTCCTTACTCATCACTAATTAAATTCATTCAGAGAACTCGCCTCATGTCAGCCCAACCTGAATTAGCCTTAAATTTCTCACAATTGCAATCTTGAGCAATTTCACTTTATTTATTTAATATTCAACAAGCCAATAGTGTTGCATCACATCTAGCATAAACTCGCTAAATGGGCCTTTTGACAGGAACGGTTTCATTTTGAGTGTAAAGAACTCAGACCAACCTTTTTTAATTGCTCATTTTGTTTGGGAAAAAAAAATGTATTGGGTAAACATCACATTTGCCAGGATGTTACCGAATCACAAAGCTTTCAAAAATAGTTCTCCAAGTGAAATTCAAAGACATCTTGGTGTCTCAAAATCCAGGTAATAATCAGGGAAATGCAAAATGTTTTTTTCTGTTTTTTCCTTTTTTTTTCTTCCTTTTTTTCCAAGTCTGTCTGAGGCTACTCTCTGAGTCCACCTAAATTTAAATAGCACTCTGTGACACTCTGATTACATTTTGTTATTGCATTTAAACAACCCAGATGACATACAAGTGTGCAGGGTTTTTTTTCCCTTTTTTGTCATTATAAAATAATTTCTGCATGACTTCAGCTTACTTCAGTTACTCTGTTGCATTCTTTAGGATATGATTGCAAATTGTGATAGTTTGCAGATATTGATTCCTAAGGTCTTGTTTGGTATTACTGTTCAGTCATTATCTCTGAAAATGAGCCTGCTGAGCCTTCACAGCTGAACTGAACATTTCATAGTCTGACTGCTGAGAAGCTTAACCTTGTGAAGACCAGCAAAAATATCTGAACGGTTTCAATTCTTGAGAATGATAGTTATTTCAATTCCCTTTAAAATCCTAGAAATCAAATGCAAATGGGAATTTTAAAACATCCACTGCAAACCGTCCAACTAACCCAGTCAAGCTCCAGTATTCATTATATTAATGATATGTTAACAAGAAATCAAATGTCAACAAATAAGGTGATCAGATTTTGATTTGTAATGCTAGCAACAGTTCTGTTTGCAGAGGCAGATCAATGTTTTTTTTTTTAGATATATTTATATATATAATATTATATGTTATATATATATTGTATATTTTGGAATATAAAGTAAATTTATGGCAGACTGCCTGCAGGAAAAAGGGGTAAAATCCATAGTTTCGGTCAAATCTTCGGTTTTCCAATCCAAGATGGGTGAAGGTTTGTTAAGTACCAAATAATATTTATACATAAAATTCTTTAGGAAAGAAAACAATAATACCAAATATAAAGATTTCTTCTAGCAAGTATTTTCCCCACAAACTCAAATGTTTCAAAAAAGCTTTATACACCAACCTTAATAAGAGCAACTGCTTTCAAACATCCATGATAGCTGGTGTTGAATCTTTGACACTGCTGTAGAGGATTTTTTATTCTTAAGGGCCTGTTAGTTGAGTTTGAATGGTTTGGTTAAAGTCATGCCACAGTATCTCATTTTGATATTGGTCTAGACTATGGCTAGGTCTTTCTAAAACTTTCGTGACCTTTTTTGAATAATTCAGAAGTGGACTTCTCATTGGACTCAAATGTGCCTCTATTGAGGATCAAAAACTGATGGCTTTCCTGTTAGAGAGTTACATTTATAGCTCTTTCAACATGTTTCTAATGTACTGAAGCACAAAGCAAGCCTAAACCATCACCCTGACACATATTTATACGGTGGGGTGTTTCTTTTCTGAAATGTTCACTTAGTTTTTGGATCTAACATGACAAACAGCTTTGCTAAAAAATTACTACTTTTTCTCCCATTTCTCCACAGAATATTTTCCCAAACTTCTAAGAGATTATCAATACTGGCCCATACATTTATTTTTATTTTCTTTCAACTCCAATTCCATTTTAACCTAGCCTTTGTCTGGCTTTTAAATCATGAACAACAACCTTGACTGAGGAAAGTGAGTCCTTTCAGTGTTTAACATGCTCTAAGATGTTTTGAGACTGAGTTTCTGCATTCTCTGAGCAATCTCTGTAGGTCATCCATGACTGAAAAGGTTTATCAGGGATCCATATACTCTCCCTTTGTGGATAAAGTCTCTGATTATGGTTGCTTCCTCTATGCTTACAGACAGGTCATAATGACATTATTTCTTGATTTAAAGGTTTAAAAAGTTTGGATGGGGATATTCTTTTTTGATATATAACAGCTTTTATCCCATAAGAACTGAAATCTTTCATATAAAACTATTTATAGTCAGATTACCTTAGGCTGGCGTCAAAGGTTCTACTGAGATTCTAAACATAAATGCATCAAAACAGAGGATGCTTTCACATCACTTCATATCCTGCCATTGCCTCTTGATTTTTGTTACCAAGCCTGAAACCTATGGAGCATTATTAATGTATGGCTGCCGGGTTTGGATGTGGCTGTATAGAACACTAGCAAAGCACACTAAGAAGAACAAACGGACATTAGAAGAAAATACTATTCAGAATACAAATTGTGCTGTAGCACTTTGAACACATTAGTCATACTGTACTTAGCAATTTTCCATAACAACATGCAGATAAACACATACTCTGATGCCTATGAATGATTAAATGTTGAGTTTTTTGGGGGGGGGGTTTGTTTTGTTTTACTGGATGCATTTTATTCAGTTCAATTCATGATAAAAAAAAAATAAAATAAAATAAAATAAAAACATGCTACTGACATTTGGTTTATAGTGGTTCAGCAATGTATAATCAGAGTTAAACTGAATTTGTCTAGTCAATAAGTTTAACACGATAAAAAAAAAAGATAAACCAGCTGATATGATCATGGATACTAATATATTGGCTGAATTTTTTTGAGTACCATTGCCAAGAAAAAGTTTAGTGAAAAACACCACCTAACAATTCTACAGAGAAAAAAGTAGCCTTGGCAGGAATTATTATTAAATACACGCAATTTGCATGTAAAGCTAACTGTTAAAGTCAAACATTGATGGAAGTATTTGGGTTATCCCAAAATTTGCTTACCTCATTTGTTTTGATTGCGGATTCGCAAACACCTCCTCTTCAGTGGCGGCTCCAGCTCAGGGCTCCCACCTGCTGACAGTGGTGCACTTATGGAGCAGGACAGGATGGCCGTCTTATCCGCGGCAGGCTTTGGCACAGGCTGGATGACGACACAACCTCCGGCTGAGAGCAGTGGCAGGGCGTAGGCGTGTTCACCCTCCTCCGTGCTGGAGTCGGGGTCTGGCTTACTGTCCACTTTTGTGTCCAATTTCTCATCTTGTGCTGATATTCGTTTCCCTGCCTCAACCACTGAACAATTGTTTTCTTTCAGTGCCTCATGTTCTAGATCACTATTATTTTGCAGGTCCTTACCCTCGCTTTCTCCTTTCCGGTCTGCATTTAGAAGGGAATGCCATCCAGTGCCATTGACAATTACATTACAAGGGGTAGCAGGGTTAGCTTGAAACTGGGGAAGGGCTAAGGACTGGGTCCTTACTGGAGTATGTAAGGGTGCAACTTTAAAATTAGAATTTAATTGACTGTCTTGAAGATCAGTTTTGCTGGAAAGCAGAGCTGCAGGGTCCAATGAATTATGGTGTACGCCTGCTTCCAGTTCTGTAAAACTGCCCTGTGGTAAAAGAGAGTCCTCCACACTATTGTCTATGAATTCCCTCCCAAACTCATCAGCCGGTGGGGATCTAGATTCCTCCACTTTGACCTGGACTCCAGCTAGAAGGGTGTGAATAAGCTGCTTTTGGCCTGGTTTTTGGCCAACAGTTAGATCAATTACACCATCAATCAGTTTGGGGCCACTGGAAACACAGAGACTGCCTGGATTATCTTCTGCCTTCAGGGCCAAATCCATGAATGCCGTTCTGCTTCTCTCACCAGGTACAGGAGAAACCTGTTCTCCACCAGCTGACTCTGTCCTGTGGTCTCCTTTGTCACTTCCAGAAGAACTTGGAGAATGAGGCCGAGAGGATGAAGCTTCTGAAGAATCTGGAGCACTGTGTAAAGAACTGCTGCTCTCTGGTTTGTCCCTGGATGTTTTTGAGTTAAAAGGGATTGGAATTGGGATAGGTATTGGAACTGGGAGAGGTACAATGACAGGGTAAGGGACCAAGAGAGTTGGCGGGGGTACCAATGGGGCTAACGATGGCATGCCAAAGTTCATCATTGGGGGAAAAGGAATGGGTCCGTTGGGCATCATATTGACAGGAGGAAAAGGCGGGAGTCCTGGCATGGGTAGGCCAGGGTGAGGTGGCATCATACCTGGATTAGGATTGGATGAATGGTGTACATGGGAAGACAAGAGGGGCCTGTGCATGGGACTTGATGCTGGACCAAGATTTCTTGGGGGAGGTGGTGGACCAATCCCAGGGATGATGGGGTTTGAGAGTGGGCTGTTAGGCCCTGCAGGATGGCCAGAGGGGCGAAGAAACGGTGGTCGGATCTGCTGCATCATTTGGTGTTCCATGAACAGAGGCAGGGGCATGGGTCCTCTGGGTGTCATCACCATGGGAGGACTACCTGAGGGAACTCCCACTGGTGGGTGTAAAGGAACAGATGGTGGGGGAAGTGTTGGGCTTTCGTGAGGTCTAGGTGTGGGGATTTTGGCTGAAGTAGATGAGGAAGGGGAAATGACTGCGACTGTTTCCGATGGTGATGTAGCAGAAGAAGTTGAAGAGACCAAGGCAGAGGCGCTGGAATGGCCCGCTGGTGAAGGAGCTTTACGCCGAAGATCTGTTAGTGGAGTTCCCCAGGATTCAGGAGTCAGCAGTTGTACCCCTCCACCGCAATCTGGTTTACCCTCCCCTCCAGCTCCATGTACAGGGTTACAAAGGGCTCCAGGCAGGGCAGCTTGGGTTTCCTTGTAGAAAATGTCCATTTTATACTGGTTCAGGCATTTGGCACTGCAAAACTGCAGCCTGCGCTCACCAGCACCAAAGTCCAAGTACTCCTTAGTGTGGCGAATATGTTTGCACCAGTCACATACCTGCAGAAAATAGAGCACATAAGGTATTCAACTTTTCATATATCTTGTTAACCTGATTGGATTTTGATTTAGTAAAATATCATCTAATTCGATAGGTTTGTTTATTACTATGTAAATACACATTTCTCACTCAGTTTTCACAACTCTTTATTAACAGAAGTGAAAGCAGACATAATGTTCTGCTGCTATGCAACTGAGGTGACTGTCTTTCACAATCTGCCCACGCAAGACATTATCATTGCTCTTATTATTGGCCTGAAAGAGACACTAATTCTCAGTTTAGTTGAAAACTGTGACACAGCTAAAATATGTTCTTTCAGTGTCCTTCAACTGTAGGAATTAAATATCCTGCAAGTCAATGTAGAGAAATATTTCTATCAGCTTCTAGGGAAGCTGGTGCTTGATTAAGCAAATCTACAGGAGAATTGGGGGTATCCATTTCTCCTCTTTTTGGACGTTCAGCCATAATTTATGTTTGATCTAGAGTAACAAAAATACTGTACAAAGTTTGTTCTAAACTCTCTTGAAAGCTGCAAACTGAAATCCAGAAGATGATCTTGATCACCCATTTTTTGATGTATGACCAACAAAAGAAAGAAAGAGCACTCAGTTATTCAAAATCAATTCAATTCAAAAGTTCTTTATCCATACCAAAGGGAAATTAAATGTTGCAGTAAATCATACGTTATTTTTCTAAACAGGTGTCGTAAGTGTTGAATGCTGTGGGCAGGAGGAACCTTCTGTAGCGGTCTGTCTTGCACCGGATCTGGAAAAGCCTCTTACTGAAGACTCTCTGTTGTTTAAAAATCTTCTGAAGATGATGCTCACTATTTTCCATAGTGTTCATCTCTTTATAAAGAATTCTTCTTTGTGAAATAATCTCCAGAGGTTCCGAGAACAGAGCTGACCTTCTTATTTCAATAGCTCTAATACAGTTACCCTGGCAGATGATGTAAGAAGAGATCACATTCTCCACAAAAGACTTATATGTAGCATTTTGCTGTAAACGCTGAAGGACCTAAGCTCCTTTAGGAAGTACAATCTGCTCTGTCCTTTCTTCTAGATGACTTCGCAGTTGTGTCTCCAGTCTATTTTTTTGTCCAAGTGAACACCAAGGTATTTATACTCCTCAATCACCTCCACTTCTTCTCCCATGATTTTAATAGGTTTCAAGTTGTTCCTGTTTCTTCTGAAATCCACAATAATCTCCTTTGTTATGTTGACATTCAGGAGCAGATGATTGTTTCCACTTCATGCCACGAAGCAGTTCACCAGCTCCCTGTACTCAGCTTCTTGTCCATCTTTGATGCGCCCAATGACTGCAAAGTAATCTGAGTATTTCTGCAGATGACAGGACTTAAAACCTTAATTGTTGGAAAAAGTGAGTATAGTATCTAGAGTAGCTACATATCTTTTGATGTTTTAAACACCTGTAGAGCGAATACTCCATTAGAAAGTAGACTGTCTAAAATGAGGTAGGCTAGAAAATAACTATTTATATTCTCATTTATTGGCCTGGAAAATCTCACTACTTAATTTCGGAGGGTTAGTTCTGTAACATATTTGAACTCTCAAAATAATCTCCATTTCCTTTTTTTTTTTTTTACATTCAGTGTATTTTAGGAAATCCAACTTTTGAAAAATAATATCACCCCTTATAAAAAATGTTTTTTTTTTCATTCAGTTTGAACTGAAACAGAAACTGTTGTTAATTAAACATTTACTTGGGATTTTCACTGAAAACTTTCCATACAGAGAAAAATACAGGAATAATTGTTTGTCCATATTGCCCTATCTATCAGAAGTCAGTCATGGTGGTAGTGTGATGGTCTTGGGCTGCTTTACGACATGGATGACTTGTGATAATGTTTAGAGCCATGAACTCCAGCTCATCCTGAGGACTTTTTTATCCACCAACTTGTGACTTTAAGCTGAACTGGACTCAGGTTATGCAGCAAGACGATCTAATGTAAACAGGGTGAAAATATGTCTGTATTTGTGCGGGACAGTCTCTCATTTTTTACTTTTGCTGTCCCGCAAATCGGAGCAATGTCCTGTATTTTACTGGGTCAAATTAGATAAAAGTCGGAAAATATACGCAGCCGCTTTTCCCAAAATTTGAAGAAAGCAGAGTTTCGTTCAATCTCACAGTGCCTCACGCCATAACCAAACTGTGCATGATGTTCTGAAAACTGAACAGGTGAAGGATTGTAATACTAAACGTAATGGAAACTATTTTTAAAATGGTGCCACAATAGAGGCTACGGAATGGAATATACCAGGGCCAGGCCAAGAAAGGTGATTTTCTGAGAGATTTTTTTCTGAAGTTTGCTGAAGTTATTTTTTAATTTGATAGGAGGGGAGCAACATTGTCCCTCATTGTTTCTCCATAAGCATCCTAGTTGTCCCACGTTTGATTTTTGGGATCTGGTCAGCCTACCTGCAAGTCCACATCTGCATGGCTAAAAATAAAAACTTAGGAATTATAAAAAGGCTTTGGAATTACTTTGTAAAAAGTCTCAATTTAGATGCCAATGGGATGTTGCAGGGTGGTCTTAAATAGCCCGTTCATGTTTAAAAAAACCCAGAAGGAACTAAATTAAAACAATTCAGCATGAGAAGAGGGACAAAATTCATAGACAATGATGTAAACGACTCATTGTCCATTAGGAGAAATGCTGTAAGGCAGTTTTAAAGCCAAGAGTGGAAAAACAGGTATTAAATTTATGGGGCAATCACTTTTTCACATAGAGCCAATTTTTTTTTTTTTCTAACCAATAAAATAATACTTAAATAATTATACTTAGCTTATCCTAGCAAAAGTGGAAAAAGTCTGAAAGGAACTTATTATAGACCTTTACCTTTTTCATAAAGTGACAAACTTTGGCTGCCTTTCTATCAAATGTTGTATTTTATACAGCAACACTGCATCCAAATGAGAGCTGGCTCAATTTGTGAAATTTTATGACCCCTGCAGTGGCACCAATCCTAAAACAGGCTGCTGCGATCTTTCATCAACACCTTTACAGTGCAAAAATGTGCACATTTTTCTTGACGGAAGAAAATGAATGTGACCCCCAGTGGAGCAAATAGCAGTGGGCGAGCCCCGAACACGGCATCGCTCGTCAGGCCACACACAGCTCACTCTGTCTGCTCCGGGAGGAGTGGCAGGTCCTCGGTGGAGATAATTAAAGCATTAATCAGTTGTCAGACCCTTCAGCGACATCCATCCATCATACAGACCCTGTGCCCCCCTGCTGAATGTTAATAAGTTGAAGGATGCAACTGGAAAACGGATAAACTCTTGTTTTACTTAGTGAATAGCACCATTTGTTTATTTAAAATAATCAATTCTGACGGGGGCATAAAAATGATGGAGTTTAAAGGTTGCTTGGACAGATGGACTTTTAGAACTAACTTTTGTCTACTGCAGCCTTGAATAATGGGAAAACTGAATTTTTTTTTTAGAATTTGTTAACTTTAACTAATCCACTTTGTATGAGGAAGAATGTTAATAAAATTACACACAATGACCAAAGTAAACACATCCACAACAGATCTCAGACATAATTTCACATCAAAGCTCTGAAAGTCTCTTTAATTTTACATGCTTTAACTGCCCATTTAGTCCATACCAATCCAATGGGCCATGAAGGGGCAAAACTCCTAAAGGTGCTCTCACATGTTGAGTTTTATAATGCTAAACCGCAGATATTTTAAATAATAAATGTACCGAAATTTTCCTCGACTCAGAAAGACAGACGGAGAGCACTTAACGACTTTCTGCACTGTGAGTGAAAATTTCACTGCACATTACACTAATGGAGTTGTGCTTCCTCCTTTACTCCCGTCTCGCTCCCTACTCCTGAACACAGATGTTTGCAGTTCGGCCTAATTATGGACATTTATTTTCACCGTGGCCAATGAACCAGCATTGGTGGTGTACTTTAACCATTTGCATTACAGTTATCTGACTTTGAAAGCAAGTAACCGCTGCATTCGCCTGTTGTGGATGTAGAAAATTAGGAACCACCAGCTGGGCCTTGTTAAAGGTTACAGGGCAGAAAGGAACAAAGGAAATATCTGTCATGCATTAAAAAAAAAAGAAAACTTTAAAAATTGAAGAAGAGGAAGAGTTTACGGATTTAAACTGACTGCAGAATGTAGGAGTGGTTCAAAATGTTAAAGACTAGTTAATGAAGAGGATTCTCAAAATAAAATGGTTAAGGGAGACTGTCATTAACATAATGAAATTAATAAGAAATTATATTTTGTTTTTAGAAAAACTGCTTCTTACAGCTTCTTTTTGCAAAATGTAATTACAGAGTGAGTACTCACCAAATATTTTTGCCACACTATTCACCTGTACCTTCTCTCTTAGTCTCTACCAGCGTGCAGCTTAAGCTTGAGTTATCTGAGCCTGCATTAGTGGTTTCAGCCTTGTAGTGGATGTAGACATTTTTTTAATCAGCTGATCAGCAGTATGGGTAAATGAAGAGGAAAGAAATTTTAGTATAGATAATTTCTGAGATGATACATCAGTGATTTTGATCAAAGGGAATCCAAATGTCTGTTGTGCAGCGGCCTATAATTTTTTATTTTTTTTTTTAATCTGATTTAAACTTTGTTTTTGCTCAATTTATTTGTTAAAAAAAACGTTAAGTTAATAAAAATACCAAGGGACTGAGAGTACGATTTTGCACTAGTCTTCAGTAGGTAAAGTAGGAGATGTTGGGGCTAAGCCAGTTTGCATCTCCCAGTTAAACTGTGAAGGTAACAAAGAACAATTCAAGATCAAGTGTGAAAAAGCACAATTAGATTAAAGAGAGATAATACTCAAATAGTGCATTAGATACAGTCTGAACATTGCACTGAAATAAACAGAGTCGGACTAATTCAGAACTCATTAACAATGCAGTTACCAGGAAAAAGCATTTTGATGTGTTTAATTTGCAATGACTTCTGTTTATTTCTAAAATTGCACGGCAATGCTGGGGTAG